GGTGGGTGCAGCCCTGTCCCCATCCCTCCCTGCCCTCCCCTGGTCCTCACCGGTCACCGGTCCCCTCCCCTAGGCAGGTCCTGGTGATCCTATCCCAGCTGGAGGGCAACGCGGGCTTCTCCATCACCCACCGCCTGGCACATCGCAAGGCAGCCCAGGCCTTTCTCAGTGACTGGACAGCCTCCAAGGGGACCCACAGCCCCCCACTCACGCCAGAGGTCGCCGGTCTGCATGGGCCCCGGCCGTTGTGACCACGATGCCCGGGGCAGGGGCTGTGCGCAGACGGACCCCCACCCCCTACACGCACTTTATGAGGGAGACCCCGACAGAGGACGCTTGAACCAGAATCTCAGGACCCTGCCCAGGGAGCTGCCAGCCCAGTGTGCAGCTTCCCATGGGCCTCCCGCCCCCTCCCTCCCCTCCCTGAGCACCCACAGCCCGCCTGGCCAGGCCTCCCGGCCACCACGCAGAATACCTCGAACCAGACGGGCTGTGAGCCAGCCCCACTCACCTGCCAGCCCCAACACCCGACGGGGGGCCGAGGCCAGGCTGCCCCTCCCTGTGGGCTCAGAGTCTCCTGTGGGGGAGGCAGCCAAGAGCTCTGTCCACAAAACCAAATCTGGGTGTCAGAGGCCAAGACCCCAGGGTGGGATCAGGGACCACTCCTCACGGGGCATAATATCAGTTTTCCCCCAGAGCCCGGGTCCCTGTTCCCCACGGGGCAAGCGGGGTCCCTGGAGCCCTGGTGTGGAGCGGAAAGTCCCAGGGCGGTCCCTGTCTCAGAAGGAGGGGCCCTTGGCCAGCCACCCCCCAGCGACACTATGCAATTGCGCCCGCCAGGATCGAAGCCATGACTGGGTGCAGGCGGGCGCCAGGCCCGCTGTGGGTGGGCACCAGTTCTCAGCACCGCTCACTGCTGCCGGGCAGGCCAGGACCAGCAGGCTCCTCAGCCAACCCTGTCCCTCAGCCCGGCCCTGCCACAGAGAGGGACCCCAGCCCATCGTGGACGTTGGCAGGGCTCAGCCGCTCCCACCTCCCCACAGAAGCCCAGGAGTGTGTGGTCGTCTGAGTCCAGCTTCCTGCGTCCCCACCCGGCCCTCCTGGCCCCTCACCCCCAGGCAGCGAGCCAGCCCCACCCCCACTACCCCTCGTACCCTGGCAGGGGCTTCCGGGGCTGTTACACCTGGAGAAACATTCCCACTCCCCTTTGGCCTCCCTGTACTCCGAGCTGTGAATATTTTTAACCCTGTAAATACGGCCAGCTCTTGTGACACAGAGACTATTTTATCAACCGTCAGCACCGTTCCTTTACGATAGGATTCTCCACAGTGGCTTCCGACTCAGGCTCCAATGGACCAAATAAAAGCGTTTTGTTTTGTAATCACGCCTCCTCCTCCGGCTGTTGCTCTGTCCAGGGCCCTGTGGAAGGGCAGAGAGGTTGCAGGTCCGAGGGATAGGCCCTGCCCAGGCATCCCGGGCAGGTGGACAGATGGGGGCCCCTGGAGATGGCCGTGGTGGGGTGACTCACAAGCTTGTAAGGGGCAGCCAGGAAGGACAGAGTGACTGGGTGGGGGCAGGGGCCGCAGCCCCAGGGCCAGGAAGGACTGGGCAGACAGGACAGCAGCACATGCAGCTTCTCCCAGCAAGGCATCCGCACTGGGGGCCCTTTCTGAACCCATCAGTCACCCGGCAGGAAAAGATGGAGTGAGGGGCTTGTGGGGAGAAAAGTTTCCTGTCCCCTCCCAGTCTCGTCCCAGGATGGCCTCTGCCCCCACGCAGGTGCTGCTGATCAAAGCGCCCGGTCGGTCGGAGGCTCTGCTGTCTCCCTGGACGGAGTTGGGGGCTGGGGTGCGGCCGGTGCAGGGTAAGAGGCTGTCACGGGCAGCGTATCGAATGTGAAAGCAATTAAAGCCACCAGCAGTGTTGGCTCCGGGCGGGCCTGGGGCGGCGGGGAGCTGCCAGAACGCATCTCGCCTCGGTGCCAGCGGACGCCTGCCCTGCTGTCCGCGCCTGCGTGGCCACACCGCGCTCCTCCTGGGGGTGGGGGCCAGGCTCGCACCCACTCTCGTCTGACACAGAGCGGGCTCTGTCCAGCCCTGGGGTATCTGGGACCCCCGCTCCTCCCGAGACCTCCTCTGCCCCTGGCCCCACTCCCACCGCCACCCACCTCTCTGGTTTCTGCCGCCCCAGCCCTGTGGTGACCCAGGACAGAGGCCCACGAGAAGGACCCTCGTGGGCAGGAGTCTCCATAGCAGGCAAGGGGTCCGTGCCCACCGTCTTAGTTGCCCGGAGTCCCCACTGGCCCAGCCAGCAGCCTCCTCTCCGCTTGAAACCCCCCGGGGGCAGCTCCAACAGAGAGGTGGTGAGGGAAAGGGGGGGCATCTGCAGAGGACTTGGGCTCCCATAGCCCAGACCCTGCCAGGTGTTGGGCCGGGGCCACTGTGGGGACCTGGAGGAGGTGGCTGGCAGCAGGTAAGGGGAACAGGTGCGAGCGTCCTGCAGGCAGCAGGGAGGACTGGCTGGGCAGGACACACAGCCCTGGTGCAGGGCAGACCCCGGGGGCAGCTGTCGGGGCTGCCTCCTCCTTACTGACACGGCCCGGCCCCTGCTCAGCCCTCCCCTCCCTTCTCTGTGCAGGCCTCTCCCCTCCCCCGCATTTCCTCCTGGGTCTCACCCCCACCAACAGCACCATCTCCCTGGTGTGTCTGAACTATGCCAGCCCTGTGCCCCCACGGTGCCCTCTCCTGGCCCCTCTTGTTGGCGCTGCTAGCCACAGTGGCCTTCCCAGGGCGGGCAGTGGCGAGTTCTCACTTATGAGGCATCCCTGTCAGAAGCACTTAGTGTACAAATTAGCCGTGGCCTCTTCGCCTCCTTCCCCAGCTCTGGGCTCCAGGCTGACTGGGCTGCGGCTCCAGGCCCTCTCCTGCCTGCCCGGGGCGCACGGCTGCCCAGTGTGGACCCCTGGCTGCCCGCCCATATCCTAGCAGGAGTGCCTGCTCCCCACTGGCCGGCCAGGGCTCCCCCAGGACCCCGACCCAGACCTGTCTGGGGGTGGCCACGGCGGGCTGGGGGTGCTCAGTGAGGTTTGTGGGGGTGGGAGGCCAAGGCCCAGGACCTGGATCTACCCCAAGAGTGGCCAGCCCTGGTGCTGAGGGCTACAGGGGGGCTGGACATGGGGCCCCACCACCCCACCTGCCAGTTGGAGGCCCCGCCACCCCGCCCGCCAGCCCGCCTGCCACTCAGGCGGGGAAAATCATCTGTGACAGGCCCAGGAAGGCCGGCCCCGGGGGCCGCAGAGAGACGCACACAGCTCCTCTTCCCAACATATGGCTGCTGTCGGCCCCGGGCGCTGCTGGTCAGTGCCAGGCTCAGGAGCCGGTGGGGGCTCGAGCAGCCTGAGCCTCCCGTCCCACCCGCCTGGCCGGCTGCCCCCTCTGTCAGTCTACATCCCAGCCTCCTGAAACGGGGGCTCACTCCCACTACAGCAGCTTGGCCCTCCAAGGAGTGTCCCATACCCTCATCTGTCCCAGAGGCTCAGGACACACAGAGGGTCAGCCCCACACCCGGCCCAGGGTGGCCAGTGACCTGGCATGTCCATGAAAGCGTGCAGTGCATGGAGAAGGGCCCAGCTGGGGTCTTCCAGAGCCGAGCGGCGGGTGGGAAGGAGGCTCTCTGGAGTGGACTCTGGGATGGTCGGGGCTGCTAGGGAGGACTCTGCCTGGTAGAGCTGCACGCAGAGCGTTGGAGCCGGAAGACTCCTGGAGCCAGGGACCCATTCAGGCACCTCCTAACAGGATCCCTCAGGTGGATGGACCCCAGAGCTCTGCAGGCTCTTTGTGTGTCCCCCACCCTTGGGCTGTTGTCCTGGGCGCTCTGGCCCACTCGGGTGCCCAGCCCCTCCGTTCTCCCCCCACACCACCACTGTGTACCCGCCCGTCAAGGCCACCAGCCTCAGGCTGGTGCCCAGGGCCCTCATGTGTGGCCATGACCCCTTTGGCCAAGGCCGGGCTGCCCCTCTCAACCAGGGATCCTTGAGTGGGCTGGAAGGAGGAAGCCCTCAGGAGACCTGTGCTCTGTAGACCTGGGGTTCTTGAAGTGCTCAGGTGGCCACAGGCCCTGGGGTCCGTTATTGAACAGACAGACATCAGCTGTGACCAGGCGCCTTGCAAGGTACTGATCCCACATGGGGGCTCCAACTTGCTGCCGCTGGATACGCCAGTCTCAGGACCTGTGTAGGGCCTCCAGCCTGGCTCCAGCTCTGCCACTGCCCTCACTGCGAGGGTGCAGGCGCCCCGGCCCCTGCACCTGTCCCGACACTGGCTGTGTGTGGACGCTGAGGGGATGAGACAGGCCTGCCCCCGGGCACTGGCCATGCCGAGCACTGCCTCCACTGCCTTCCCTGAGCCCAGCTCTCCATCCTGCCCGTGAGCCCCGGGCACACAGTCCCAGTGTTAATGGAGGTGACAGGCGGGCAGCCGTGGGCAGAGCGGGCAGAAGAGGTTAATGGCCAAAATGAGCTTCTGGCTAGAGGCAGGAGGGGCCATGGGGTCCCCATCCCGCCCTGCACTGGGACGGGCTAAGGAGACATCAGGGCACCCACTAGGACTAGAGCAGAAGTGCCCGGAGACTGAGCACCCCACCGCCCATTCTGCAGATGGGGGCCGTGGCCCAGGAAATTGGTGGGGTGGGGGCACAGGTGCCAAAACAGAGTCCCAGTCACTGCCTCAGGAAGCAGAGGCCACCTCTCCATACCCAAAGTCAGCTCAGTGTGCAAGGGCTGGGTCCCAGCAAGTGGGTCATAGTCACAGTGAAGAAGCTGATGTGCCCAGGGGGCCCTGTGTTTGGGGGGTGCTGGCACTGACGACCCGGCCTCCCCTGGCTGTTCGTGATGGGAACAGTCATCTGGGCACACGATGTACTGGCCTCACATGCCCCTCACCCCCCACCCCACGTACGGCCGAATCTCAGGACCCCCACCAGCAAGTGCAGGGCCCCTCATCCTCGCTGCCAGAGCCCTTCCGGGAGGCCAGAAACACGTCCAAGTTGTGCCCCTGGGCTCCTCTGGGGGCTGCCCCTCTTCTCTTCTCATGCAAACTTCTGCAAAGGCAATCGGTGGTGAGGGGTGGGGAGCTCCTTCACAGCCTTGTTCCGCCTCTGGGACTCCTTGGCCCCCTGAGCTTCACTGGGCTTTATTTCCTGCATGCTGAGATCTAGATGCCCCAAGACCAGGGCTCCCTGGTCCCTATTTTCCTTTCCCCAGACGATGACCAGAGCCTCCGGCCAGTTGGTCTCCTGTGCTGTCAGCTGTGGCCTCTTCCAGACCTTCAGAGGGGTCAGTTTCAGGCTGGCCAGTGAGGGACTACCGGTGACAGGGTGACCTTGGACCCTAGTCTCCTGGGGCAGTGCTCGGCTGAACATGTCCAGAGTAGGGTCTATGTATGGAAGCAGCCGGCCTCCTGGCCCCCGCTCTCCACGGGGCTGCTGGCGTGACGGCAGTCCAAGCTGTCTCCCGGCCCGGAGCTGCCTGCACGGTCAGCTGGTCAGCTGGGCCAGGCCACGCGGGCAGAGAGAAGGCTGGCATGCTCTGCCATCCACAGCACCCCTCCCAGTCCCCTGCCCCACCCCAGGGACTTCCCTCAGACGGGCGTGGGTGGCTGTGTCAGGAAGATGGCATGGAGGCAGGAGGGAGACAGAGCCCCATGCCCACCCCAGAACCAGGGACTGCTTTTCATGGACCCTGGGTGTGCTCCACCAGGGAGCTCTGCCAGCAGCCGGGCCAGGACCACAGGGAGATGCTGCTGGGCTCTCTTCTCGGCCCCATTCGAGGGGTGACACCCAGAAGTCCCGTGGGGTCCTCCCTTCTTCCCCAAGGCACCCCTGAACCCGACCTGAGCTGGGGACAGCCCCGGAGCCCGCAGCTGAGCCTGCAGGAAGCCCCAGGTCCTGGGGAGCCATGTGGGCCGGGCTCCCTGTGCTGCCTCAGAGCCAGCGGGGAGTAGCACAGGCCTCTCTGGCTGGAGACCCCGAGACGGCCGCCCATCACATGTGTCGGGTTTAGGACGTCTCCCCTGAGTGAAGGCAGGGTCTCTGCCCCAGCCATGCCTGTGTCCGCGTCTGGGAGGGAGCAGGCCGGTCAGGTGAATCTCCCCAGGACCCAGCTGAGCAGTGGGGCTCCAAGCCTTTACGTTCTGGCAGCTCAGGGAGCTGCTTGGAACTTGGTGCAGCCGGGGAGGTGGGGCTGGGAGCAGCCCTGGCCAGGAGGACATTGGGGAAAGGGCTTCATGGTGTGGCTGGGGGTTCAGGCCCCTCCCCGGCCCTGCTTCTCACCTCCACCGCCCCAGGTCCTCTCAGGAGGGGACTCCCGTGGGGAGAGGGTCTTTC